ATTGCGAACACACACACACACACAGCCTCTCGACAATATGCGTTTTTGCTGGCTGTAGCAGCGCTACTATAGCGCTGCACAGCAAAAACGCATAAAAATAGTTGCGGACCGGAAAGGAATCAGAACCACTCTCCCTTCACCTCCGGACGCGATGTGCTATCCACTTCACCACCGGCCTTGTGCTTCCTGATCAGCCTGGTAACACATTTACTGTGTATTTTCCTTTCAAGGCAGAATATACCTTTCCCTTAGCTTCCTCCCATAGGCAGCGTACATCTTTTTTGTTTGTGGCGGCTTGTTGACCGGGTTTTCGCAGGTTTTCTGCAACAGCAACGTTCACCGTTTTCAGGCGCAGTTTTTTTCTGAGGTGCGTAAAAAGCAGTCAATGAAAGCAAGAGGTGATGTAGTTAGCCAGCATATGAAGCAACAGAAAGCACCGAGTGAGGAGAGCGGGAAAATGGCATCGACGAGTGAAAACAGAAAAGGTGCAGCTGAAGGCTCTAGAGATCAGAAGCATGCAAAGGAAAGTGAGAAAAAGGTAATTCTATGTGTTTGCACAGTCATAGTTGTTGGTACACACCTCATTTGTATACGAAGGTGTATTTCTCGGTCTGTGTTTACAGCTAAGGGATGAAACAACGACTACATCATGAAATGTTCTCCGGCTATTACACTTAAGACCAATCCCTCTATTCTTCTATACCATAAAATAGGTGAGAATTGTTCACAAAAGTCCGGGCCAGTATGGAATTACATCTGTTGAACTTTTCATTCAGTTTTGTTTTTTTTTTTTTTTTTTTTTAAGATTTTCAAACTCGATAGGGTTACGATTTGTAATATAATATAATGCCTAAAATTAGGAAAAGAACTTGACTCGCCGCAAAGTAGCGCAACTGTCTGTTGCAGTTGACAACTTTTCCAGTCATTTTTTTATCACTCCTGCATGTAATGTAATGTCTTTTGAGTAATTTTCGATTCAGGAGAAATCGGAAAGCAGCAGTGTGGTGCGGAAAGAAAAGAAGCTTGGTAGTGATGGCCACGAAACAAAGCCAAAAGTCGATCTGCAATACAGACAGCAGCAGCAACAGCAAAAAGAAAGGAAAGAAAAGAAAGAAGTGGTTAATTTGTTTTTTTTTTTTTTTATCAGTGTGAGAAATTTGATTTTGTTGTGTCAAAAAAAAAAACTTCGGGATCGGGGGGACTATCTTTTCGATGACTCCTTTTGACAGTAAATCGGGCTGATATTCCTTGGCGTGATGAGATCATGGGGTAGAAGGAAGGGCGGGGGAAGGGAAGAGTAATTCCGGGTTTTGAAGTGATTTTTGGCAACTTCTATAAGCATTCTGAATTTCTTAACGATCTTTGGGTTGAGGAGCTGCTTGAGACTGTGGTTGGAGTGTTCGACAGCTGAGTTTAAAATCTCTAGCTCGCACGTGCATAGATAATATCCCTGC